TTTAAGTTTTGGGTTGAAAGCAATGAGTATGTCGGACTTTCTCAAGTCCATATAATGAAACAATATCCCTTTATATTAGTCCAATCGGAATTTGCATAAACATACCAGTTTTTTATTGCAAAAAGAACTGTAATTAATAGCCTACATAAAAGCATCATGATATATAAAACATAAAAGCCTATTGTTATCAAAATCCATAAATCCTCACCATATAAATATAGTTTTATTGATGACCAAAAACAGATATCAAGGGCGTAGCCAGCTTTCAGTCAGGGGGGAGGGGTGCGATCGCCAAAAAGATTTCGGTTTTCAGTCAGGAGGGTATGATTGTGGCATTTTAATGCTCCTTTCTTCTTCTTTCTCAGCGTTTTATTTTTATTGTTATGGGGGAGGTTGCTATCGCTCCCCCCCCCCTCCTGGCTACGCCTATGGATATTTTGGCAACTTTCACGTTTACCCCTCCCCCTAATAATTTTTGCCCCCCTCTAAATATCAGACCCATCAGGCGTTGAGGCATGGATCAGGATACCCTGACTCCCAAGCTGTGCGACTTCTGGCAACCGCTACACCTATATTCCCGGGGAAACGATTTTAGAAAAATTGTCAAATATGGTCGTGTGTGGGCAAACACGGAGGAGGAGGAGAGGGATGCGTGCATTGCATGCGACCCTTCATCAGTTGTGTACCTTATTTTTGTATGAATCTCTTCCGAATAGTTATGCTAGAGGGGTTCTGATATTTATTTCTGTTTTCAAATGAAATAATTTCACCCTTGCCCGACCGACTTGTAGATAATGCACGAATCAAATAGCATGGAGATCAGATAATCAGATTGATTCGTATTTTCGCAATCAGATGAATTAACTTATTGTTTTCTCTGATTAAAAAGCGGTTTGAAGCTACTTTTACAGGATTTGTAAATTCGCAATCAGACTGGCTTATTTTAATATTTAGTAAGTGCAAGAGGAGGGGACTATTAATGTAGAAAATTGTTTTGATTTCGACATTAACTGAATAATGTATCACAATTGTTAAATACGCAAACAGAAACAGGTTTAAAAATGAGAATAGAGGCAAAAGTCTAGACATAAAATGTAATTAAAACCCGGGAATTAAAAGCAATTTTAGACTGTTAGATGATCTCTTCTGTAATCAAGGTGATGTTGGTACACTTCCGCCGTTAGAAAAACAAAGACTAAGACAAAGACCATATAGCAATTAATCCTTTAGTAATCATTAAATGTTAGATTCTTATTATTTTGTTGGACAATGTTCAGACTTCTGACCAAGATTAAATCATTTATGTTTGTATTTAAAAAATTGTATTTCAATCAGACAGACGTGCTAATGAGTTCGAAAAATACATTTGTCCATTTCCTCTCAAGAAGTTTTCAAAGGTAATCAAGTCGATTTGTTTGAGTGTTTAGCATTGTTTTTCATAACTTGACGCTTCCATGAACAGAATGACTTTGAAATTAGTTTTTATAATTTTAGCTTTTATACGGACATGCTTATTGTATATTTCTATATGAACGTTGTAGTTATGTGATGTAACATCGCCCCCCCCCCCCCCAAATTACAGGTATACAAATTTTGATCGGAATGCATTAACTTGCAATTAAAAGCAATTTTAATTTTAATCTCTTATGTAATCTAGGTGATGTTGGTACACTTCCGCACTTAAAAAAACAAAGACTAAGACAAAGAGAACTAAGCAATTAATCCTTTTGTTATCATTAAATTTTAGATTCTTATTTTTTGATTGGACAATATTAAGACTTCTGTCTCCGATTGTTATGCAGGTATGTGTATAAAATCATGTGAACAACATTATCGTGGAAACTCCCATCTCCATTCTCATAATGTCTTACAGCTATTTCGCAAATGACATAATCCTAAACAACATATGGACATAACGATAATATCGCAGAACTGAGCGAAAAGAAAGGTGGAACAAATCAGATTAAGATATTCTATTTTTGAAATGCACAAAGGGCAACAGTTGAAGAACAAAAGTTAAAGGCGTTTTGAAATAGATCGTGCTTTTATATGATCCCCTTCTATAATACCCTACCCTTTGCATTTGTTCGACTTCACTTCTTAAATGAGAGTTTCGTCTTCTCGTAGTTTATAATTAGACTCTGCACGCAGCGTAATAGTGCCCCTATTATCCATGTTCAGGGGCGTAGCCAACTTTCAGTCGGGGGGGTGCGATCGCCAAAAAACAATAACGGTTTCCAGGGTTGCGATCGTGGCAAAAGCAAGCCAAAAGATGCAACTTCCTTCAAAATTGAGCTTGAAGCTTCTATCTCTTCTTCTATTTCTTGGTTCTATTTTATTGGTTATGCACCGCAACCCCCCCCCCCCCCCTGGCTACGCCTATGCCTGTCGAGAGACAAAAAGAGAAGCGAAAAGACTGTTAAAACAAGTACTTCCAATAAATACTTTTACAGTTATATGTGTTTATCAACGACCCTACTTGTCAAATTAATAGAATTAATAGAAACGAAAACTAAATTCTTTCATTACGCGAAAACCGTTGAAATATCTACCTGATTCGCTGGAATAGTCATTAGTCACATTATTTCAGAGCAAACAATTAGCATCTACTATAATATTTATTTTTCTATCCGATATACAACTGATATTGATATCTTTCCCCGGACAATGTGTTATCTCATGATCCGTTGACATCATCAACAATTTGATTTACCACAAGAGAGTAACCAACATTCCTTAATTAAAAAGTTGACATTTCTTGATTTTTATAGCAAAAACACTATGACACAATAACATCGAGGCAAAATCAAAACATGGTGTGGAAATAAAAGGCATACAAAATGGTCATTAAAATGAAATTCTTGTTCATAAAAGTATCAACTTTATTACATTGGACACAAATACAAAGTATAGAATAAATAAAAATAACGTCTTCCCAGAGATTACAATACGGATCAGTAAGTCAACAAATCTAACTGTTAAATAAACAAACTTAGCCCATGTCTGCAATTGTTCGTCTGCTGGTCAGAACTCGGTATCCTCTTCGGATAATCAATTTTTGTGACTACTGATGTCTTAAATAATTCATAAAGACGACGTTGTCTTTAAATAAGGATCTTTAATCTACAAACTGTAAATAAATAGCGTGAGTCCGGGATCGTAGACAACAACATTGATACCTTGCTGTCCTCTGTTAAATCACGAAACCAGTTTCCCTTAAATTTTTTACTTATACATGCATAATTTATCTATCAAATTATTTTTCTTTAAATATTAAATGTCGTCTAAGTCTAATGATTAGACTTCATCTAGATTCATTAATCATCACGATATTTATATATACATATTATGTAATAGACCTATCATATCACGTCCGTAGTTACAAAGTCAACTGCATATTAATGCAATAGAATAAGACTCAATAATTAAAAAAATAAACCTCAGTATTCGGGCCTAAAAAACACAGATAAGTGTATCAATACCAACGGGTAAGCTCAAATAACCTTCCAGATAAGTGTATCAATAATCAAGGATTGCGAGTACTAAGGACCGGGTAAGATGGTTGTAACATTGGTATTGCTAGTTATTAAACACGATTTTGTCTTGTGTCAGAAACTGAAAGGTTTTATATCATGATGGGGTTACAAGGAATACCAGGTATAAATGATGAAATGGATTTTACTATTAAGTTCCATAGCTGCAAAATGATATGCAATATGTATAACTATAGAAATGTGAAATTGAAGGAACTAAATTAATTTAAGTCAAGAGATACATGTAGCATTGTGTAAATAATACTTTTTATTACTCTTTCCTTTGTAATGTAAATATGTTGTAAAAAAGAATGTATTGTCACCAAATTGGTGGTTGAATAAATATACAAATACAAATACAAATTATAAGTAATCACAATTATAATCACGATTTGGCCCATGCTGGTCTGGTATACTGAATCAAGGACTTGCTTACCACATATAAATTATTTTTCTCGGATTCCCCTAATGCCGTGTGGGTTCGTTTAAACGACCATGTCGATTTTCACAGAATAAATTTTACATTTACTTTATTTGGTCTATATAATCGGTAATAGGTTGAAACCAAATGCAGTGCTCTTATCACACTCTGAATGAATGTTCTCTATGCCAGCATAACCAAAATTAAAAGATGCGACCATTTATTATTGAGATATGACATGTTTTCACAAGTTTGTTGTCCTGTTACATTGCCAATTTCACGAAATTCACAATTTTGAAGCCAAATATCAAAGCTACTTACAATCGGAACCCCCGTCCTGTCCATTAGTGTTATGAAAAATACGTTGTACACATTAGGGTTAAAAGAAATCAACTCAAAAATGCTTGAAATATCTTACGTGCCTCTTAAAAGAAATCGACTCTTCAAAAATGCTTGATATATCTTACGCGCCTCTTACAAGAAATCAATTCTACAAATATAATTGACATATCTTACGTGCCTCTTAAAAGAAATCGACTCTTCAAAAATGCTTGATATATCTTACGCGCCTCTTACAAGAAATCAATTCTACAAATATAATTGACATATTTTACGTGCCTCTTACAAGAAATCGACTCTTCAAAAATGCTTGACATATCTTACGTGCCTCTTACAAGAAATCATTTCTACAAAAATGCTTGACATATCTTACGTGCCTCTTACAAGAAATCAAAAATGCTTGACATATCTTACGTGCCTCTTAAGATAAATCAACTCTTAAAAATGCTTGACATGTCTTACGTGCCTCTTAAGAGAAATCAACTCTTCAAAAATGCATGACATATCTTACGTGCCTCTTAAGAGAAATCAACTCCTCAAAAATGCTTGACATATCTGATGTGCCTCTTCAAGGAAATCAACGCGGTCGTTAGTGAGTCACTCCAGTGTTTTTCTATGAATGGTGAAAGGCCGTTCACCTCAGTGGCTTTATATGAGAGCACCATTATAGACGTATATAATACGTACTTTTAAGTGCTTCAACGAACTTGACACGGAGCACTATGTTTGCACTTTTATATAAATGGGTGTTTACTAAGAGACGTCGTATCCCGATGGATGGTAATGCTGTTGACCGGACATTGTTAATAAGATAGTACCTTCCAAGGATGAAAACGAAATTGTCAGTAGGAAAGGTGGAAACGAGATTAACATGCGACTCGTTACACAGTGGATTTATTACATATATTATTGTAACAATTAGTTGTACAGCAAGGGATATCTAAATTCATAAAAAAAGTTTTATTTCGAAGGAAATTCAGAATATGGTATGATATCATGAAATTATTTCTTTATAAGAAATTGCGTCCGTTGGTGAGAATGGTAACTGTGATTTTAATCGTCGCGTTAATCCATCTACTGTTAAACAATTTGGAAGATACGTTTTTCAGGAACACCGTCAAACCCAGTGACACCTTCGTTAGAAGTTGCGACTTCATATCAGAAATCAGAGCAACTCCCGTAAAATACAATAGTGCCAATACAGAGAGTATATTACTAGAAGGGCAATCACTTGGAATCAACACAACGCGTATTGCCATAGGATGCGCTATAAAAATTCGACAAGAGGACCTACAGAAAGACGACATATCCCATCTGCTTCTATTTGTGGATTTGCTTCCTTCTTTCTGTTCAACAATGTCGAAAGGTTTCATATATGAATTTTATTTTGCGCATGATTATAACGACACATTCTTCATTAGAGACGCTGCTTATGAGAGGTTCAATGAGATATTTAATGGTGTCCTAAAGAATAGAAGTGAGTGTCATAAATTTGAGGACATTGAAAAAGCAATAAAAGTCCATTTTGTGAAATGTCAATATTCAGGCAAGCCAGCGTGGGCCCAAAACGATGCTATGATGGCTGCGCACGCAGATAATATGACGTTTTTCTACAGAATTAACGATGACACCATTTTACAGACAAGTGGTTGGACGGAGCAATTTATTGCTACCCTTTCAACGTATAAACCTCCATTGATAGGCGTTGTTGGACCAAATCACAAAGGCGGCAAACTGTCCATACTTACTTACGACTTCGTACATCGACATCATATCGATATATTCGGTTTCTATTATCCCCGGGAACTAAGTGCATGGTACGCAGACGACTGGATTACTAGAGTATACGAACCATCGAGATCCTTGAAATTAAGAAATATTAAATTATTTCATACTAAAAAATTAGGAATTCGCTACGATCGAGATAAAGCACACAGTAAGATGCTGCCAAAATTGCTTAAGAGAGACAGAAAAGTTTTACAAACCTATTTAAAAACCCACCCACCTTGATTGTATTATGTTTATTGAAAAAGTATTAAATGTTCATAGATAATTTGTTTGGTTACTGTATTAATAAGGTGCTGTTATTTGGTTTTCTAGTACTAGTATTTACTAGTATTGCAAAACAAGTATTTTCTCAGCAATCAATTATTCAAACGTATCTAAAATGTCTACAAAGTAGCCTCTGGGTATCATTAGCAGGTTGTAAAAATATAAATTAGGATTGACAAATTTAAAATTCCTGTCAAAAAAATCCAATATCAGACCTGCGCAATGAGATCTTCATAGCATTTGTGTCTGCTATCAAGTGGTAGCATCTGTCAATCAGTTTTAGTCTTTAATCTTTTTACTCTTTAATCAGCGTGTTTGTGTGTCAGGTTTATTAATGTCTTTCATTGGTACCTGTTTCCAAATTACGTTCTGTCCAAAATTTCAATTTGAAAGGATGAACAATACTGCTTTTGGGCGATAAGCGAGGGGGAACTATTGAAAATTGATTCAAGTTGAAGGTTTTTAATAAAATGTTCAGAGAAATAAGCGAGAAATAATCTATAGTTGGAAAAAACTTGTCAAAAAGAGATTTACTTTTTGGGGCACTCGATATGATATACTAGTATTCACTCTCTAAAAGTGATCCGTTCCGTTGCACTAAGTTTGTTTTCATTACTTCGGAATATATCTGATCATATCAGTAACAAATGATGACCTTATCCTTCGGAAATGAAGGTAATGTTAAACGATTGTAAACCTGTGAAGAGAGTGACGTGGTTAAACGCCTTATAGTTCACGGTATGAAATGTATATATATTATGCCTAATATAGAAACTGATAGCAAATTTTAGAACAGCGATATTTTACCTAATATTTGCATACCAACATATTCTAAAATTCTTACCCACTAGGTGACCTTTGTTGACATACTTTTTCTGAAAACAAATACTGTTCTGTCAATGTCAATTATTCAAATCGGGTCAGTAATGCAAAAACTCAGAGGGGAGGGGGGGGGGGTAATTGGCCCTCCCCATCTCTCATGTGACTTAGTGTCATAAAGAGTTGCAGACATTTAAGGTTTAATATAAAAGACGGTTGCACAAATGCCAGAGGGAGAGGACCAAAAAGAAACCTAGAACCTAAAAGAAACGTATTTTTGGAGGAAATGAGGCAACAAGACATGGAAATGATACAAAACTAATGCTTTGCTTGAGCCAGATTGTGCTGTGATGTGTGATTTTGTTTTGACATGAGTACATGTAGGTCATGATGAATAAAAACACAAAGAACAATAATTGGCAAAATGATGGAAATATAAAGTAAAACTTGGCCTAGGTCTTCATCTTCGACCTGGACATAATATATCGGTGATTCTTTGCCCTTGATTTGTTCCCAACATATATCTAACGTAGATATGATATTATAGGAGGAATTATAATAGAACATCACTGGTTATCGGTGAAGAAACCTGGGCGACATTCTCCCTTTAAATAGCATTTATAAAGTGATCATTTTGAGATAGATAGTGTGTGGAGATACAACAAGTAAATTTGCACTGTCTAGGTACCAATTAAGAAGATGAGTTGACTTGGTGACCCGAGCACTTATACTATTGAATTAAATGCCTTGAGGATGAAGCGTTTCAGTGAACATGAATAGCCATCATACATTACGCCCTTGCTATCTTTTGAATTGGTACAATACATCGTGAAAATCATACTATTACAATCTTCAAGCTCTATTTCCCCCAAAATATCATTTCACTATATTTTTTCATGACAGTTCACTTTTTTTTCTTTTTTTAATCATTTATTTCAAAAATTAAGTTCATGGTAAATTATACATGTTATACCGCCTAGGTTTGAACATAAACATTGTTGGCAGTAGGTTATAAGTACACCGTAGGTACATAATATCATGTAAGATATGAAATATAATGACGTTACACCATATCTAAAGAATCTAGAATATACAAGTGGACATTTAATAGTGGAAAGTACATACATGGATAAAGGGCTAAGCAAGGGCTATCATTTCCATATTTTTGGTGATGAACTTTGCAGTTAGATGAAGAATTTGGTTATTAGATTTTGAGTCATAGTTTTTATTACCGTAAAGTAAGAACTCTATCTTACCTTGTTGATTAAGCTTTAGGTAAATTTCAATCAACTGCAAATGTGAAAGCTGTGCAATCAAAACAATCCTTTCATCTTCATTTAGGTTGCAGTGATGGAAGACATGTTTAGTTGTTTGAGGATTGCCACATTTACATAAATTATTTTCAACACCCTTAAAGTTATGAGCATATTTTTGTGCTTTAAAAAGGAGATTTGCTCTTAGCTGGTTAAGTGGAATTTCAAGACTTCTATCTAAATTAAGGGTTTGGCTATTGGTGCTGATCATCGGTCTTGTTTCAAAAAGCTTTTTGACATGTGTTTTAAAGGTTGAGATTGTGTTCATATTTTGTACATCAATTTGGAGACTATTCCAGATGTCAATAAAACTAAAAGTACAGGATCCTCTAAATTTAGCGGAGATATTTGCAGGGATATGAAAATCTGGTGCATTTCTAGGTTGCATGGGAATTTGTTGCACAGCGTAATTTTGGAAAATATCACTAACATAAGCTGGCATAAGACCTTTTGACAATTTGAACACAAAAGCAGCAATGTGAGACTTTCGTCGATCGAAGAGGTTTTGCCAATTCAATAATTTGAGCACTGTATCAGTATTTGAACCGTGGATCGCCCCAGTAATAATACATGCTGCTTGGTATTGATGTCTTTCAAGTTTATCAAGAGTAGTTTTTTTTACCACAGTGATAAATTATATCATAAAAATCAAGATGGGGTCTAATAAAGGAATCAAACATTGTTGCAAGGTGCTTGCTCTTTAATTTTCTGGTCAAAGCCCTAAGTGGACAAATCATTTTTTGAATTTTACTCGAAAGATTATTTATATGGGCATCAAAGTTAAGAAGTTCATCTAGGATCATACCTAAATGCTTATGAGATTCAACTTTGGGTATGGTTTCACCACCCAGGAGTAGGTCAGGAATATTTCGGAGATCAGTTCTTGATTTTCTAAAAATTTGATCGGCGCTTTTGAGGCTTTGAAATTCATTTTCCAGTCTTTAGACCATAATGATAAGGAATTTAGATCGTCTTGTAGGAGTTGTGACGAATTCGGATTTGTTTTAGAAAATGAATGGTACAGGGAGGTATCATCTGCATAGAGAAAACAAAAAGAATTCAGTTTGTCGGGAAGGTCATTTATATAAATGAGAAATAGTAAAGGGCCTAAGATAGACCCTTGAGGCACTCCGGCATTGATTTCACCTTCCCTTGAAAAATGTGAACTCATTCCGTTAATGGTTACTTTGATTTTCCTGAGATTTAGATAAGAATCAAAGAAATGTATAATCTGTTCAGAAAAACCATATGATTTTAACTCGTGTAGTAGAAGATAATAAGGTTACAGAATCAAAGGCAGCCGCTAGGTCCAAAAATACAGTACGTACAAGGTTACCTTGTTCCAGGTCAAAATTAATTTTATGTATAATTGAGAGAAGCTGGCCTGCTGTACTATGTCCTTTTAGGAAACCAGATTGCAGCTTGTACAAAAGATCATTTGATATCAAGTGGTGACTTGTATTGTCATAAATTACTCGTTCAAACACTTTAGACATACAATTTAAAAGGGTAATTGGTCTGTAGTTAGTGCAGTCTGATGTTTTTCCTTTTTTGTAAATGACAGAAACATTTCCTTCTTCGTTTACTGAATGGAGTACATGTATATTAACCAAACTCTTTCAATTACTCAGATGCGAGTAGGTAGTTACCAGTTTCGCCACCAGGTGGCTGATTCGGGGGAAATAACATGGCAGGGTATTACAAAGTTCCCTTAAACTTGAATATTCATCAGTTGTAGTGGTTTACTAAATCATGTTACCCTTGTGTTTCTTGTAGTTATACAAATTAAAATATGTTCAGTAAAATAAAATCTCATCTGCCCAACACAAGAAAGGATATTTCACTTTTTGTGATTTTACAACATGGGGTCTACGGGGAATCTCCCCGACCTAGAAGTCACATTTTCAAAGAAAATTAGATTTTGAAACTTGATTTTGAAACTTTTCAAAACCACATTTCTAGATGAAATTTTACATGTAGATTCTAAATATGACATCAGTTTGACTGAATTTCGAATTTTTAATGACGAAAATCAAGATTATTTTTACTCGCATCTTGTCTATTCTGATTTTTATGTAAACCATATAGACACATGATTTTTCTTCCAAAATAGCAGTAGCAGCACAATGGAATTGAGCTCAAAGTATAACGACATTTATATAAGTAAAACGAAAGCGCTTCAATCAATCAATAAACATAAAATAACAATAAACGGCACCGTCGAGTATATCTCAAAATTGCTTCATTATACAAAATAACAGTTACAGCACAATGGAATTGAGCTCAAAGTATAACGACATTTATATAAGTAAAACGAAAGCGCTTCAATCAATCAATAAACATAAAATAACAATAAACGGCACCGTCGAGTATAGCTCTAAGTATAACGACATCTATTTAGGTGAAGCAAAATTGCTTCATTATACAAAATAACAGTTACAACACAATGGAATTGAGCTCAAAGTATAACGACATCTATATAAGTAACGCAAAAACGCTTCAATCAATCAATAAACAAAAAATAACAGTAAACAGCACCATCGAGTATAGCTCTAAGTATAACGACATCTATTTAAGCAAATTCAAAATTGCTTCAATATATAAAATAACAGTTAATAATTGTTTTTTATTTTTGTCGCTGGCGCATGGTCTACATTGCCTACCAACCTCGGGGTATATAGATTTAACCTACATACGATCATACAAAGCCAACTGAGCATTGGAAACCACCTTATATGTTCTACTCAAGCCATAATAATGTATTTTAAATTTGCGGTGACGCAAAAAATTGATGGACGGTAACGCGAACCTCGTTCAAATATGTATCCCCGATTCATTGTTATTAATTTTGTCATATTCATCAGAACTTGATGCTAAATCTTCTTTTGCCTCTTCATTGCTATATTTTTCACTTTCGTTATTTTCATAAATAGAGCAAGCCACAGTTTTTTCCTTGCCCTATAGTGGCTCAAGCAAGAGCGTCTCTTGCGAGTCCTGAAAACAAATATAAGCAATTCAATATTCCATGTCTTACCCATTGTAACAATAACATGGAAAAACGCTATCAGAACTAGCAACCTTAACTTGACAGGTGTACATGCATGTAACCGTCTGCTAAATATCTAATATACAACTAATACAATTACGTTACCGTCCATAGAATTCATACGTAGTCGTCTATCGACATTGCGTTTGAAACTTTATTATTTACAATATACACCACGTTGCTGTTCTGGATTTGTCATTTTATTGTTTGTTTATACACAGTTTACTTACAGTTAATATTTTGAGTGGCTCTGAGGCTCATATACTGAGAAAACACGAGAATGGATTAAAACTTATGAACTCTCATGAAATTATGATATCTCAGTCGGTAGGTTTACAGCACGTTTACACGCTTACACATTTTGGTTGTGACATAAAAGTATCTTGAATGACTTAATGCGAATGATGTGATGCCTGAAGTAAGATTGAAAACGTATGTTTAAACACACTGAAGTGTGTCCCAATGTTTGCCTTATATTATTCCAGATGGCATATCGTGGCATAACAGTATGCAGCCTGCATGACAGTTGTCCGGGGGCAATTGCCAAACATAATGTATTACATTATTTCTTTTCCAAATGAAATTATGAAAAGCATTTGATTTAACAAAAATAACATACTCCTTAATGTGTCAAAGCGTTGGAAATGTATATTATTTAACAATATTTACAACGGATGAAAAGCCCAAACTCAAGTACTAAACTCAACATTGCGCATTTAGAGACGTTTAGAAACCGCATGTTTTGTAAATATAAACTTTTGATGTAATCAAGTTTGGAACCGCATTTGTTTATACATTAATCATTGTGTTTCGCTTTAATATTTGAATGGGGTGTTTGATTTACTGGTACTTTTACAAAATTACGGGTGCTGACATAAGAATAATCTAATATACAATATATAAGTGTTAAAGCTGCCCGTGTAATAGACTTTCTGCTGCCATTAAGTAGGCCCGCCAAAAACTTTCAGACGATCAACGATAAATCACTAGATTTCTCTCTACATTTTGAATAAAGTGCCAAATATTCTCAGATTTTTATACAATTTAGAGTATCATTTATACACCTATAAACTTTATTCCTTTTTAATTCCACTATTTACATTTACATACACAATTCTGGATTTAGAAAACACGACCACCATTTGGTTCTTTCAAAGGTTGGTGACAATATGACGCAGTAAACACGAAAGGCGACAAACAATCGGCAAAAATTACAGTTACGTCTCATTACATACTCTTTGCCATATCAATTTTCAAAAAATCAAAATCAAATTTCAAGTTGAGTTGCAAAGCGACATCACGACTTTCGATATAAGTGGATATTATTATCTTTAACCAAGTACCTCTTTGGACTAATATAATTTGAAATTCACTTTGGTAAGTAGATTTTGAGAGTTAACTGATATCCGATCCTGTTTGACAGTTATTTGGGACTGAACATTTTCAAAGCCTATTTTGGATTCAATGAGACCTAGCGTCAATAAGTACATGTATGCATTTTTTAACGCTAATTTTACGACTTCATTGCAAAAATGATGATTATATTTTGGTTTGAGAGTATGGTCTAATATGGTATAACAGCAAGGAGGATTAACCTTTTACACAATAAATAAGATGTAAATAAGATGTACGCTTGATGCTTTTAAAATTTATTATTTTATAATCTGAATGTTATACTATGTAATGTAATATGCCGCACTTGGACATATGGACCCATGTGCCACTGCCGTAAAAGTGTGTGCAAATTAATAAATAAAATATAAAATGTTTCTGGAGCCAAAATTATCCAGAGAATATATTTGTGTTCCCTTTCACAAAAGATTGTTCTCAACGGGTATGTCATCTAGCCCCACAGTGGACAATGAACAGTCCGTTTCACTCCGTTTCACTCCGTTTCTCAGGAGATTTCCCCTCCACCATTTCGCTCGCTTGATCAATTTCTCCAGTTTGTACGTCCCTCTTGAGCAATAGGTGTCGCTCGGGCGAACTGAGTTTTCCCATTGGAATCCTCGAGAATTGAGGACTTTTGCTTGTAAAGGCAAGCAAAATTGAAGTCGTCAATACAAAAGGGAGTGTCAGCACTGGTAGCCCCAACTACAAAGTAACACGTTAAATATATACTGAAAGAACCCAAACTACAAAGTAACATGTGATATAGGAACCACAACTACGACGATGTAACGCATACGTGTAATAAATAAAATTGGAACCCAAAATATAACGTAACACGTGATGCATACGGGGAACCCCAACTACAAAGTAGCAAGTGACATATATTCAAGGAACCCAAACTACTTGTACTATGTAACACGTGATATATATACAAGGAACCCCGACTACAAAGTAATACGTGATATATATACAAGGATCCCCAACTACGACGATGTAAAGCGCACGTCTGATAAATAAAAGAGGAACCCAAAATATAACGTAACACGCGATGCATTTACGGGGAACCCCAACTGCAAAGTAGCAAGTGACATAGCAAGTGACATTCAAGGAACCCAAACTACTTGTACTATGTAACACGTGATATATATACAAGGAACCCCGACTACAAAGTAATACGTGATGTATATTCAAGGAACCCTTTCTTCGACGATGTAACGCGTACGTGTAATAAATAAAAGTGGAACCCAAAATATAACGTAACACGTGATGCATACGGGGAACCCCAACTACAAAGTAGCAAGTGACATATATTCAAGGAACCCAAACCACATGTACTATGTAGCACGTGATACATATACAAGGAACACAAACCACATAATAACACGTGATATGTATTCAAGAAACCTCAACTAAAATGTAACACGTGAAGCATATACAGGGAACCCAAACAAACACATCTTTTATCCATTTGAGATAAGGTTGCCATGGTTATCTGTATTAAGGGGTAGCTATGTAGGTCAGTTAAATTATACCATATAAGATGGATATTTTGATCATTTTAAAGCATGCGGAAATCATTCATTTTTGATAAATGTTTGGTTTTTGTTGCTATGCGTTATACGTTACCTGACTAAAACATCTTGACAACGTAGCGTGCACCAACGTTGTTAGGACACCTGAAACAAAACAAACAGTGTACACTTCCCTCTAATGGTTTGACAACTAAGGGTCCCCTATTGAACTACGTGTAAACAAAGGGTGGATACGCATAGAATATTTACGCTGCGTACCAACGTACAAATACTCTATGACAGCTGCTATATTGCTGAACACATTCTAAAAAATAGGGAGACACAGTTTTATTTGGCCAAATTTTTTTAGAATTTATAATACAAAAATATTTAAGTTTGTGCTTCTCATTTCATTCGAGGTTTACATTCAACTATGTGATCGGCAGGAAATGTTGCTTTCTTACCCCCAAGCCAGGCAAGTATGTGCGAATGTGGAGTAAGTCGGAAGAAAAAACCACCAACTGCTTCACTCGTCAAAACCGCACTATATCCCCACAGACCACTATAGATCTCGAGAGGTGGAGCGGATAGCCCAATAGCTATAAAACAGAAAACATGGCTAAATTAACAAAGTCACATAATCAAATATATATCATTTTTAAGAAATGTGTAATTTACACATATACTGCGCTGAAAAAAAAATTGCCAAGGTGCCATATTTCCGTATGCGTTGCATAATTGTCATAGATTTGCTACTGCGACCGTACAGAACCTTTATACGGCTCAGATTCTGCATGTTAAACTTCTGCAGTGACCGTAGAAATGAAAAAAAAGTTATAACTCGTCGTTATAATCTACGGCCTGTAATAAAAGAGACTGTAAGGCAATTGTATATTTTCTACGGTTGTCATAGGAATTTACCGATTTCAGTGAAGCTCCGTCGACGTACATGTACGGTCGCCGTATAGCAAATGTGACCGAGGTTTTAATGAGTACTTGTGCAAAACAAATTATTTTTAAAAGAGTGTATCCATGTATAAGTAGCCATCAGTAGCCATCTTTATAAGTGAGTAAATATTTATCTCGTTTAGACATAGTTTTGGTAGGGAATCATAGAGACTTATTGTTTTAACGTTTAGCTATACGCATAAACATAAGTTTCAGTATAAGATTCAATATTTTTTTATGACATCGTCAAGGTCAAGAGTGGTCAATGTTTTCAGACAGAAAACTACTGGCCTTATTAATATGATAAATACCTTTTTGCCAGGTATCATGACTATGAATAATTTCATTTTTTATAGCCTTTTATTTTTGAGCGAAATCTATTTTTTATCATACGCTTCTAAGATTTTGGTTGTCAACTTTAAAATGTACGCAAAACACTCCCCTTCATAAGTCCATTTCTATTTTTACACATGCCGTATATTTACCGTGAAATTATGAAATTATAAACGTACTTTTCATCGTAAAAGTTAGACACGTCGTACGCCATGCAATGCATCAGACTGACCGCAGCGTCAACGCACGTCCCCGCTAACGCTTGAGTCAACCTTGATTTCTTCCAAAAAGTTCTTATTTTTCTTACAGTATAGTTTAATTTCCAAAATCCTACTTGTGAAAATGTGTGCACAAAATAAGTAAACCGGTGGTCAGGTCGTCCGGTATTGACTGAATGATAGCTCAAATTCCGAACCGCAATAAGTAGCAAACGTTTGAAAATGTTGATCAACTGTCCCCTAACCCGGCGGTTATGATCCGGTTTCAGACTCCACCATACCTGTAAAAGCGCTTATGAAGCCTCCGATGAGAGCGTGTAGGGCCAGTATGGGAGATGCCAAGCATATTGCAGCGGATATAAAACAACCAGTCAGAAGACCATCGTAGGCATATACTTGCCCAACGCTTATTGGGATGGACAGAAAAACCTGTAATTTTGAAAATGTTTTATTAGTGCATAGTAATTAAGAAATATAGACCGACGAGCAGATGATATCGTCGAATACGAGTAAGGCTAGGCACGGACGTTTTCTGTACCCCGAACGACCGAAGGGCCTGCTCTAAAGTCTATATTACGATTCGAACATGAAAACTCATCAAAATGTTTCGAATATTCATTCGAACATGACCGCATTCACGCCTCTATATACTGTGAACAAAGTCAATATTTCACTCGGGTTATATTCGTGAACAATACCCCTGGTAATACGAGTGCTGTGTGACGTCATAACTGCGGCCCGTAGTAATGACCATAATGCATATTCGAAATATTTTACTGAGATTTCATAATCGAATCGTAATATAGACCTCAGAACAGGTTATTATCGTCGAATACACCCCTTGGGGCTAGGCACAAAAACTTCCAAACCCCTCACTCACGTCGGTCGTTCGCGGTACAGAAGCCGATTGTGCCAAGCCCTGCGGGGTGTATTTGACAACATTACGCCTGCTCTTCGATCTATACTTTTAATTATGGTCCGCCATTACTACGAGCCGCCGTTATGACATCACACATTATTCGTATTCCAGTGTTGTTGTTCGCATTAAATATAACCCGGTTGAAATATTGACTTTATTCACAGTTAATAGAAGGCGTGAATACAGTCATGTTCGAATCGTGATTAAAAAACGATGCGCAAGTCAATAGTACGATAACGTCATTTTGAAGGGCAAAATAGTGAAATAAGACCCAAGGTCCAATATTTCACTATATTGCCCGCAGAAATGACGTTATTAGTATTATTACCACCGTTAATGACCAAATTGAAACAGCAAGAAAATCTTACGCACTGAACGATATCTAATTTCCCGGGAAAATTGCCGGTCGAGAATTGCATTATTGACCGGCAGTATTGACCGCCACGATGACGTCACATATTGCTCAGGTAGATACAGTAAAATTATTGCCTTTTAAAATAGCACCAAAACCCCTGCAAATGGCCCGGCAAGATGGTAATAATACTGATGGTTCACCTTAATGTGACATGTAATTGATCTACAATTGTTATTGTACTTCAACGTCCAAGTGTTTCATTATCTTTTTACGCTCAATCTATCTGTAACTGACACGTTGGCTTTAATTCAAACCCGTTCAAATACTACAATAGAGTAGTTCAATCAAACCCAAATGGTAAACAATAAAGGCTTTTCTAAATAGCTTAGAAATCTAGTCGAAGTCTCGTTTTTTGGTATTTTATTATCCCATCGAACGAAGTTCAGAGGGATATAGGGAACGCCTCCGTCCGTCCGTCCGTCCGTACGTACGTCCGTCCGTCCGTCCGTACGTACGTCCGTCCGTCCGTCCGTACGTACGTCCGTCCGTCCGTACGTCCGTCCGTCCGTCCGTCCGTCCGGGCAATAACTCAAATACCGTTGGCCCGATTTTGTTCATATTTTATACACATATACCTTATGGGGGTAGAAGTTCTGCTCGAAAGCCGATTTTCAAAATGGCCGCTCATTTCAAAATGGCGGCCATTTTAGTGCCAAATTTACAGTAATTTAGGTGCAATATGTAAAACTGTAATAGCAATATGTTTTAGATGTAAAAAAATTATATAGGACATTAATAAAGCTAGAAATGTAGATATTAAAGAAGCACATGGCAGCCATCTTGAAAAATGGCGGCCTTTACTCATTATTTTACGAATTTTGCTCTAACTCCAAAAGTAGTGGAGCGATTTTGTTCATATTTGGTATGTGAATACTATAAACATTGCACACTGTCTAAAGACACTTTTGGAAGAAGGTGGCCATTTTGAAAAATGGCTGCCATTTTGAAAAATGGTCACCATTTTAACGTATTTTACTATAACTCGAAAAGTAGTGAAGCGATTTTGTTCATATTTGGTATGTGAATACTATAAGCATGGCACACTGTCTAATGACACTTTTGGTAGAAGGCGGCCATTTTCAAAATGGCCGCCATTTTAACGTATTTTACTATAACTCGAAAAGTAGTGGAGCGATTTTGTTCATATTTGGTATGCGAATATTATAAGCTTGACACACTGTCATATGACACTTTTGAAAGAAGGCGGCCATTTTGAAAAAAAAATTGAAAAATGGCCGCCATTTTAACATATTTTACTATAACTCAAAAAGTAGTGAAGCGATTTTGTTCATATTTGGTATGTGAATACTGTAAGCATGACACACTTTCTATTGACAGTTTTGGTAGAAGGCGATCATTTTTGCAAAATGGCCCCCATTTTAACATATTTTACTATAACTTGAAAAGTAGTGGAACGATTTTGTTTATTTTTGGTATGTAAATACTATAAGCACATTTTAACGTTTTTTGCTATAACTTGAAAAGTAGTGGAGCGATTTTGTTATAAGCATGGCACATGGTTTAATGACACTTTTGGTAGAAGGCGGCCATTTTGAAAAATGGCTGCCATTTTTGGTATATACTTTGTTTGTAAAAATGCCATCCATAGCTGTTCGATGGGATTCGCTACGCTTTGGCGTTGCCGTTGTTCTGGTTCTATTTGATGGCATATTTGAATTCTTAGCGTACGTTTCTATCAAATCAACTTTGATTTGCACCATTATCCAACTTTATTCAACTTTCAACCACAATACACGTGTCAACAAGATCATGTTGTTATATTCCAATGGTGTTTTATATTAATTACAAATTGAAATAATTGGTAGATCGAGAAATTAAGTGGCTCTTACCATATGTCTGCAAGATTACTACACATAACGCTATAATTTGTCTATAAAAACAGAAAAGTTTTGCACGACAAATATTATCGTATTTTCCATAAAATATTCTATTTTTAGTCCATTGATTGCTCACTTTTTAAATTTGATTAACGCACAATCCATTGTCTTGACACTTCGCAAAATAGTCGCACACGTATTGTTAAAGGATTTAAGCCATGTGCATTGCGAGCTAAATCATTCCATTAAAGTTTGATTAACGCACAATCCATTGTCTTGACACTTCGCAAAATAGTAGCACACGTATTGTTAAAGGATTTAAGCCATGTGCATTGCGAGCTAAATCATTCCATTAAAGTTTGATTAACGCACAATCCATTGTCTTGACACTTCGCAAAATAGTCGCACACGTATTGTTAAAGGATTTAAGCCATATCCATAGCGAGCTGAATCATTCCATTAAAGTTTGATTATCGCACAATCCATTGTCTTGACACTTCGCAAAATAGTCGCACACGTATTGTAAAAGGATTTAAGCCTTTGACTCGGTGCATTGCGAGCTGAATCATTCCATTAGAAGTGTTGTTTCCAAATCTTTGCATGATCGGTGTAAAAGAAATTATGGTCCCCCAGGGATCATGGTCCCCCTTCTTAACGGCCCATACTGGGCCTGATTGTGTATAAGATAATAAGGGAAAGAGGTCACTATATAAATCAATGGAGAGTAGGACCATCATTTGACCTTCTACCTTTTACACCGGCTTAAATTGTTTTCGCACAGTGCAAAATATTATCTACAAAATCACATAAAAGACATAAAATCACGAAAAGAACATATTTTGAATGAAACCTTTTGCGAGGGTCAAGTTGCCAAAGCATCAATTATTATACAAATAGTGACTGCCATTGAGGGAAATAGTGCAAAATATTTTCCTCAAGGGAATATCCTGTCCACTGAGGCTGCAGGCCGAGGGAACAAGTCAGTGGACAGGATATTCACGAGAGGAAAATTTTTACACTATTTCCCGAAAATGTGGCAGTCACTATTTGTTTTATTATATACCTGATAAGTACTCTGTAAACAAAAACAAAATGAGAAGTCTTTTCATTTCAATATCAAATGTTCACAGGTTCTTATTGGCATTTAAAGGCATTTTACCTTTCAACTCCTATAATCTCAGATTTGGGGGAAGATAAAATGTACTATTGACTGGTCACATGACCTAACTGGTGATTAGTACAATTCATCTTCCCTGAAAGCAGGGATTTAGGACTTTCCAGGGAATTAGTTCATCTATTCCATGTCATGTGACCATGAATAAGCCAATGAGCATCTAGAATACATTTGAGGTATATAATAAAATCGGTTATTGGATATATAACGGAATGAAGTTACGTGAAATAGCGTGTTCTGATTAGCTGGAATTGGACGCACATTGCCTACAGTAGCTATGTGTGAATACACATATCCCCGCTTTTTAACACGACAAAAATGTACACACATGGAAATTCTTTCGTCCTCCACATTAACGTTATAAACTTCTCAAAACATTTACAATGAATAACTCCGACATCGTAGTAGATATATCGTTTTTGACATACAACGGAAAACAAATACATTATTGCTAACAAAATCAACAAAGGAATGGTAGCAAAATAACCCGGCGTATGTGGTTAATTTAAAATTTGTCTTGTATTTTTGTTTAATTTACGCCTGAAAAGTTGAAAAATGAGCAAAAAGGTCGCTGTTAACAAATTCTATTTTTCAAACGTCAAGATATCACAATAGACGCGCACGTATTCTTGTACAGTATTTTTGAAGAACCCCTTTACGTCATATAGACTAGTGTTAAATATGATTATGAATTCTTCGTTGAGATTATCATATAAATGGATGTCTGTTTGATCGCCCTCATGTAGGAATGCATCATCATTTAAAGGCAGAATCAGATCTATAGGGGTGGCAAATTTACAAGCGACATGTACAATTGACCTACCAATCTATTCCTTACAATCTCAAATACAATATATATCTCCCAAAAGATTCATGATATGTTATAAATTGGTAAAGTTATTATGGTTTCGAAGTGCTAAAATGTGTGAAAATGTTTAAATTCTCATAAATAATAAAAATCGTAACCATTTTCATATAGAAAATAAAATGATTATAAAATTATAACATTATTGTAAAAATCTTTAGTTTTCCTGAAATAAAATAAAGTGTGCACTTCGGGGATTTTTTAGAAAATAGACATGACAAGGAATGATATGAGCCAGAAATATTCTAAAATTGAAACAATTTTTTGTTGGCCTCCTCGCGCTAGATCTGATTCTCTCTTTAAATTAAACAGCTTTACACCTGTTTCTAATGGTAACATGTCAATATATACTATATACGAGTTTGTATCGTATTTGCCAGATTTTTATCTAAATAAAAAGCAAGAATTGTGAAATTAGTTTACTTGATTAGCCTTGCCCAAGTCTGTATGTTTTTAATTATCTGATTTAGAAATCAAGATAACTAAGAGACCGACTTGGGCAAGGCTAGTACTCAATCTAAAAAGTTTATAAACATAACTTTAAAATGCTACATTACTTAAGTTAGAATATTATCTTATATTTTTGAGAATTTAGGTACATCCAATCGACACCCAACAAACACGTGACGTGTTCTTGCAATATGCAGAAAGGATTTAAAAATTAGGTAAGGCAAAAGTGCATCAACAATTTTAGGCTAAAAGACGTAGACGAACTTTGGACCACATTTCCAAAGTTTTGATTAAAAAATATCTGAAAAATATATTTCTGAAAAATGTTGTTGAGCCAGTTGCCTTGCCTGTTTCATGCTTGGCAGCATTTTATAAAATACCTTGCCCCAGTCAAGCGTCGTCGTATTGGACACGGCATCGGGTGCTGCTTTCAAAGGGTAGTGTGTTGCGGAAGTACTGTCAAACGCCCCTAAGAATATGAACGTCAAAAGGCAGAATGGTAGCGTCAACGCTGGTAGGTTCCACACTTTGTAAATGTTACCGACCCCATTAGCAACGTAGACGCTGAAGATTAATCACTAGCAAGTGAGCGGAGTTCAACCATTTGGATACAGTTAATGACGAGAAAGGGTAGCAACAGTAAAAAAAAAGAAAGCATCGTTGCCCTAATCTGAACTGAGCTGACCTCACACACACATAAAGCTGGTTTTGTGTCGAGTGTAAAAAAGGAATCTAGATTTGCACAAATAAACAAGGATGAAAATACGGACAACATATTATTAATACATTCGGGAATTTACTATTTTGTGGCCAACCCGGCAAACCCGCCTAAGCTATTTAATATTCATTAAGAATTATAACCTATTTCAGAAAAAATATCCGACGTGCTTCTTGGGCCATTTAAGAACAATGGTCTCTTGCAGTCTGACAGTCAGGAACATGTAACAAGAATCATTTTGAACAATAATATCAACTTTTGGAATGGTTCGAAACAAAATCGAGAATCCGTGTCAGCTATATTAAATATGATCAAAATTGTTCGCAATAAAAATATAACTTTTTTGTACATTATTGTTTAAGAACGTCTTGTGAATGATCTAAATTAATTTGTTAATATTATGTACATGGTATTATCGAGGGGTCATCATAAAGTTTTCATAATACCTCTCTAACTTCTTTATTTTTCAAAGTACTGTAATTTTCATGAAATTACGCACAGATTACACTGCGTAGAATGTCTTATTAATCAACCAAAAATATTTACCATAACTGAAATGTAAATAAGTAATGGTTGCCATTGTAATGGGAAATCAAGGCGCTTGTCTCATTTATTTATTTTGGTTGCGACCAACTTTGCACATCTCTTGAATGAACTGAAACATATTAATATAAATTATGAACACTTATATCTCACCTTGCAGAACCCAAAATTATGAGGGGTAGAATAAGCAATGGATACCACTCTCGATCAACAGATACTCCAAGAAGCAATCCAATCAACAGGCCGTGGAAGGTACAAACACCCGATTCAATCAGACTGTACTCTTGTTTGACGGCAAACGCTGTGGCAATAGCCGCCAGGAGGCAGATCGTCCCACAAAGTGCAACCCAGGGATCCCCGAAGAAGAGCGCAATAAGTATCAAAAGTCCACTGTATGGGTTATTCACAAAAACTGGTTGTCCCACCGCACGAAGTATCCAATTTGGAATCGCTAAAGTCCAATGTTTTGTGTGTAGAAATTCGTTAACTCCTGCAGCGTCGGAGCTGATGTATTTCGCAAGGAAAGTCCAAACGGAGTTCTTCCGCTGTAACTTTGACTTTTCGCTCTGCATTATTAAGAAGTTTGGCAACAAGTGAGCAACGATCGGTATATCACGCAGTTTGATTAATAACCCCTGTATTGACGATCGGCCAAATACACATTTGCTCATAAATGAGGAATATTTGATTTTAGACTTAGATTGAACTTTAACTATTTATTGTTACTTAGATGCTAGCCTAAGTTTACAATTTATACTTTTCCGAGTAAATGGTATTACGTAAGTGCTGTTGATTTATCGAATCGTTTCAATGTCAACCCTGCTCAAGGGCCGGGTACTGTTAAAGGACACACTGAAGAAACCTGAAAAACAATGTAAATGTCTGAGTATGGTATTTGAATTTAATGCAGCAGCACTGAATGGGTTAATCTGTAATTGGCACCATCACTGGGGATCACCTGGAAACGAAGACAGCATTGTCAGCATTCTCGATTTAATCGCTTACCCTACAATTTTCAGTTTAATATCTGGCACGTATGTAGTGCTTATAGTTCGATCTCGAAAATATGATTTCACCTCCGACAAACATAGAATAATTGTCTAGATAATTACAAATAAATTTCGTCACTTCCGCTTCCGCCTCGCTTGATGCAAACAAACGTGTGACAAATGCGAGTAGAAAGGATGACTTATTCACATCAATGATATGCTCAAATATATTTACAATACTTTTAATTCTAATTTGAAAGCAAAGCAAAAATACATACACATTAGACAAGGATATATTAAGAACAACAAAACCAGCTAAATATTGTTTTTCAATTTTAAATATGATTTTATCATCTTTTATTCTAAATTGACAAGCCTTAAAAATATGTTTGCACAGAAAAACATACAAGGTCATAAAAGTTGAGAGTCAATGACATCACTTTAATGAATGAAAGGAGTGGTATCAATATGGTGAACTTTTTGAACACGCGTTTCTCTTAGACCAGTCATCAAGACATTCTGAAAATTTTACACATCGTCAATTTAATGGTAATCTTTTGGATGGTAACATTATGATTTGAAATATATATATATATACTTTTCTCTATGTTGTTTTAGAAAACACATCAGACACTTCTTTTCTTCTTGGTATCATATGTTCGGAATGAAATGAAACATCTATCCGAACCTCATTGGAACAAAACGACATAAACACAACGTGTTAACATTTGGTCTCTCAATATTGTAATTGTGCAAAGGAAAGTTTGGTTGCTTTTAAAAAAGTATCTTGTTAATGAAATAAAAGGTTTATCTATTTTTAAAAGATTTTTATCTATTTTGGGGGTTTCGTTTTAAGTTTTTGCATACTTTTTGTTAAATCAACCAAAATTTCTTTGTATAGCTATAATATTCAGAGGTCTAAGGAAATGTTGTATAATTATGCTATTTTGTTCCAACAAGGTTCGGAAAGACATTTTATTTCATTCTCAAGAATTGGTAGAAAGGAACAAAAAACAATTGCACTGAAAAACAAAAAATGTTAATAAAAACAGTTAAATAAAATATATACAAGTTGCATTAAATTGTTGCCAATCAGTCAACATTACATAAAGGACCGGGTTTCTTTACAGAATGTTTTCAATAATTGGTTTAAGAGAAAGGCATTGTTGAATTCAGTTTCCAATATCGATACCTATCCTTTTAAAAGATGGCAGCTTACCCGTAGTACTTGAATCGAGCAATATACTCTAGGAGCTAGCGAACATTTACAAGACATCTCGAGTACAATAAAAGGTTTGAGGGCTGTTATTAGTAGATGTGGGTCTAAAATCCCCCAAAAAGGCAACTCTTAAGTGACAAATTTTTGGCTACCACCAGGGGGCGGGCTCTTTGAAATGCCCCCCCCCCCCCCAAATTAGATTTAAATGGCATCTCGAGTACATCAATGAAACCTTTGTTAAAATGTTGCTTTGGACCCTCTGAAACAGTATGAGTCCTTAAGAGTAGCCAATTTGAGGGTTTAACCCATTTCCATTAATACTGTTAGCGATGAATTACTATTTTGTAATTTAAATATGACATTATAGTGCCCTACCCCTTGAAAAAAGAGGAAATCAGGCGTAGTCAATGTCATCATTTTGCAGCATTAAGTTGGAAAGAAGTGTTATTAGAAAGTGAATCAATGCATCCAAAGCATTTTCATATGTTGCTTGACATTGTAATTTGTCTATTACTAGAATATAAGACTCATACACATCTTATATATTAGTTTTAAATATAGTACATGTATTAAATACATGTACTAAATTATAATGGAATACGTAATGCATCATGCAGTCTAGACATAAGCATATTACAAGGTGTCAAATAAGTCCCCCCCCCCTCATCTACAGCATAAACCAAGATATATGGTACCAAGTGTGATATATCATTGGAAAGGTCTTTCAAAGTTACATTGATTGGCATATATCTGACTCTTGTCAATCAATCTCACAAATTTTTACATTGTATCAATTGAGGTGATCATAGGACTAGAAATATGGCAATTTGGCGTATTTTGCAGGACTTTAAGAATAGGGTATATGAAAAGTCAAAGGATCTAAAGATGACTACATATTTATATGGCAATGAATTAAAACCAATTTCTGGATATGTTTAGATGTGTTGAAAATAGAGGTGGTCAAAATTACTTTAACGCCCCGTATCGCTAATTTTAACAACATAAGCAATACATTTAGCATGTAAAATGTAAAATCATTCAATTTTCTACTTAGAAAATATTTTTAATAAGTGTTTTGCTGAATAGATATTCCAAAATCTGAGTTGCCCCTAAGCCACCATTCCCCATTTGTTTAACATGGGATCTGCCATTTTTGTTACATTTCATGAAATTCATCAATTTTGACATCAAATTTTGACAGAATGTAATGGAGATATAACATTGAAACGTTGCGGACTTTATAGGGAATAGAATCAAGATACAGATTTATTTACTTTATTGGGATTTCTTTTGTTCCCCGCTTAGAAAACAGTCGTTCAAACAAATATCGAAAGGTAGCCCAAAATCTGTCACTTAAGAGTTGCCTTTTTGGGGATGTCAGACCCACATCTACTAATTACAGGCCTCAAACCTTTTGTACTCGAGATGTCTTATAAATGTTTGCTAGCAAATACATTTTCATGAATATTCGGCCATATTAAACATTTTGCCGTGGTTTCCTAAATATGGGAAGTATATCCCGAAAAAGGCAGTACTATGAATCACTAACCTATTTTACTTGCCATGGAGTGATATTTCTAAAATGCAACATTATATGAAATTTAGAAAAATGCGAAATTTTTACCAATTTGAATTAGTTACCATAGCAACCAGAGTAAAAAGATCAGTATAATTTATGAGTAATGAAGCCTATACTGAAAACATGTATTTTCAATTGACTCATGTAAGTTTAAATTGTTGAATTATCTTAAAGGTCCAATATGCTTAATTTAGAATAAAAAATAATAATTGCAACATGTTACTCACACACTCGCTCAAATATGAAACAACGTTTGATTTGATTTATTATTGAACCAAGAAAAGGATAACTCACATAGAAAAAAGCATTTGAAGTTCAGAGATCATTAGTAGTGCATGCACATGCTAAACAAAGTGCATGTTTTAAATTACTTTTGATTTAAAAGATGGCGATACTTCTATGAATTGAATGTATCATGTAATACAAACAACATATTTCAATGACATTGATAAAAACTTGATATCCTGTATAAAGCTTGACAGATCAATATTATTTTTTGATAATTTATTGTAACCTTTTGTGTGGTCCGTTTGAGCTGTTGTTTGTCAAATGAAAGATAAGGTTCTTATCAATACATTGGGCATTCAATAAAATTCAAATAAAAGTCTTTATTTTGCCCAAAAACATTGAAAATACGCAAAGTGGGCCTTTAATTAACGAAAGCAATAACTTACCAGGTATTTTGGAGTTCATGTCACTGTCCTATATATTGCGGTCCGATAAACTATATACTGGTTGTCAAATCAACGATTTATCTATAGCGTAGTGCCAATGAAGTTGTGATTGAATTGCATTTATTCTTTTGTCGATTCTTAATCTCAATCCATCAATCTGATTCAATTATGCACAATCTTATCTCGAGAAGATTGCGACAAGATTGCAAGGCTTAATTCCTTATCGATTTTTAACTGTTTTTGAAATATTTTATATGCCTTTATACACTGATTTAGTTAGTCGTTGTTTATATAACAGGACAGGCGTTTAATTTATGAAATGGTATAGAAGATGTTATACCCTAGATGTGAGTAGAAATAATCTTCATTTACGTCATTAAAAATTCAAAATTCAGTCAAACTGATGTCATATTTGGAATCTACATGTAAAATTACATCTAGAAATGTGGTTCTGAAAAGAGTTTATCAACTTTGAAAATTTAATTAATCAACTTTGAATATGTGACTTCAAGGTCGGGGAGATTCCCCATAGAACCCATGCTGTAAAATCACAAAAGGTGAAATATCTTTTTATGTGCACGTGTTAGGCAGATAATATTTTCTTTTACTTGACATATTTTAATTTGTATAACTTTTTTTTTTTTTTTATTCATTTATGTAAAATAGATGTACATGGGGTGATATAGTAAATACAAGGGAGCATATTCAAGTGCTAATCACCATTTTGGCATTATAAGCACTCTAGCCTAGCGGGGAAAAAGTTGACGAGGGGTGGAAGGGGGGGGGGGTCTGAGCTGGGCTGGGACTGGGGGAAATACAGGGCAGAGGGACAATGTAATTTATATTTGCAAGACAAGGCAGGGTACAATAGGTTCTAGAATAGTCTTGTTCAGTATGGAGTAAGCCATCTCTTAATAAAGGCAGAAGTCAGAGTAAAGATTTTTGTGTTTTCATCCTTGCTAAAATTACGATTGCCAAAGGCTAGGTATCCTAAAAGTGTAGATTGGTTAGTGGGGATCAAAGGTGTTTCGGTATAGAGAGTATTGAAAAAGGTGGTTCTTGCATTTTCATTCAGAGGGCAGTGAAAAAAGAAGTGTTTTGGAGTTTCGGGTAGACCACAAGAACAGTTAGGAGAACTGATGAAGGTGTAATTGTGGACAAAGAGTTGAGCTCTGAAGAGCAGGTCTACCCTTAACCTATATTAATAAGTGTTTCTTCATTTCTAGAAATATTTAGCTTTGAGGTAGGGATTATGTTTATGTCAAGGTTGAGAGGGTGCTTGCGATTGTTGTTCTTAAAGGCAATGAGGGTTTTACTTGTTTGAATATTCTTTGGTACAGATAGCCAATGGGAGATTGCATTTGGTATGCAGGAGTTCAGGTA